GAGGCTCTCGGGAGGAGGAGGGGTCAGCTCAAGGGCTTGGCCTGAAGGGGTCTATTGGGACCCAAATCCAAAAGGCCCTGCATCCACAGGGACAGGGAACTAGGCCAACCGCTCTGCTCAGGTGGGGGATGGCAGGCGGCGGCAGCAAGGCAGGGCTGGGAAAGGAGAACTGAGAAGACAGTGCAAGAGTGGCAGCCATGGCATATTCAACACTTCTTTCACCAGACATTTATGGAGCAGGTACTTCGCACCAGGCGTTGGTTATAGGCTCTGCCTGCTCTCCAGGAGTTTCCATTCCAGTAGGAGACTAAGCCAAAGCACAAATTAACCTACAACACCAGGGGCTGATGTTCTGTAGCAGAGAAAGACGTAGAAAGGGCTCTGAGGGTTTTAGTGTTGATGGAGAGGTCTACACACACTCTAGCATAATGCAGGGTTTCCTTTCCTCCAGGAAGTGAAGAAGAGAAGCTTCATGCTGAGGGCTTGGGGTTTGGTTTAATCTGAATCAGCTCATACATGCACCAGATGGTTATTTTTTGTATCTTGTCACTTTTGTAGTTTTATAATGAGACACGGGTATTTTTCAGATTCTATATTTACATCATTTCAACTCCATCTGAGCTTATGCCGAAAAGGATCAATAACACGCCTGTTAGAAAAAACATACACTAAAAGGCATTCACCTGCATGGGGAGCACATCCTGAGGGCGGTCCCGTGGGTCCTGCGTGCCCTCAGCTTCTGCAGCACCGGGTGACTGAGACCATTTGTGCTTCCCTAACACTGGTAAATCATTTCTGAAAACGGTTTCAATAGTATTCACCTGGGAGGTCTTTTTTTTTGATTACTTTGTAATCAAAAAAATTGTGATTTTTTAACATATTACATTTTTAACATAAAAAATGTAATTTTTTAACATAATCTCTTTCCTGATTATAAAAGTAAAGCACACTCATTGTAGAAAAGTTGTGGGGAAAGTATAAAGAAGATTTTGTTTATGTCATCTTAAAATACCATTTGTGAAGTGGGGCATATCACAGTGCATATATATAAATTTATAATACATAATATTACATGGTTATCATATCTTATTCTATAATATTTATGTTTATAATTACTTATTTAAATAAATATGTTTGTTTATATATATAAATATATAAATAAGGACTGTGATATGCCCCACTTCACAAACATTTATTTATATATAAATATTTATTTAATTTGTTTACTATTTATTTAATATTTTATATATATTGTATATAACATATATAGTAAAGTAATGTATAACAAAATATATGTGTGTATATGTGTGTCTGTCTATATTGTATATAGAGATAGATAAAGAGAAAGAGAGATTGAAGATTTTCTTTCATTATCTCATTAAATCCTCCAAATAATGCTGTCCCTGCAAGCTTAGTGGCACCCCAAGTGAAAGTCATGCCTCTCCTACACTCACTCAGACCACGGTGAGTGCTGAACAGGACAAAGACTTTATAAGTTTCTCTATAAAATTTTATTCTGAATTCATATTGATGTGTTAAAAGGCTGACACAATCCCATAGGCATTTTCCCTCCATGTGTATTATATTTAATGCATTACTTAATAGTGAATTATTGCAAGATCCCATTCTCCTATTGCTTTGGCACCTGACACTGTGAATGGCTACAAATGCTGAGAAGTTTTTCTGGGCCCTTCCAAGAGACATGGATGGGGAGAACTTCGGCTAGAGAGAACTTGGCAGGAGAACTTTGGAGTAGAGAAATAGGCTCATAGGAGGCTTCTTCACGACCCCTTCTACCTTTCCTCTGACATGAGGTTTGTCTTCCCTGCCTCTATCACGGGGGAGCCAAAACAGCCACGTGGAGTCAGAGCAGATGATCTGAGCAGCTGGCCTGCCAGACTAAAGTCGAGTAATGGCCAGGGCAGCCAGATGGCGGTCAGGATGGTATGAAGAGGATGTGGTCGGTCAGA